TAATTTCACTTCCAGGATGACCACAGTTAGCACCACATTATATCTCCTTTGAGAAAACTATAGGTAAATTAATTTTAAATATTTTATCCTCCCTTCCCAGCACCCGCACATGGGAGAATCAGAGCATTTGCTCCTATCAGAAAGCATCTGTGAGTGCCAGACGAGCCCCAGAACTGCCCCGGCTGGTGTGTGATGTGAATGGGGCCGATCCAGCTTTCTGACCTCCCAGGCTGGGAGGCGGGGGGAGAGGGGGAAGCACAGACCGAGAGCAGCAGGCCCCAGAGGTCCTTGCCCTGACTGGTCCTCCAGTTCTAAGACCTCAACTATCTGCTTCTCCGTGCCCCGCCCCCATCTGAACACTTGGTGAGACAAATACCACTGTCCTCTTGTGCTGTTGCTGAGGCATCGAGAGGTTGCTTTTTTTGTCTTTGTGATCTGGAGGGTAATGGAAAACAGTTAATGAAGGTCACAAGAAACTATTAATTGGCTTTTTAAAAATCAGCGAAGGCCACAAGGTTTGAGGGCCTCCCTGAGCAAGGCACCCCCCCGCCATGGCTTCAGCGGCTCCCTCCCCCATCACCCCCTTCAGGACAGTCACTGTTCCTTATCTGTAAGACCATAAAGAGGGTAATAACCCAAAAATAAGTACACAGTGCTTCACAGATGCACAGTGAGATTAAGAGACTGATTTATATTCCACTTCTATCACAAACATGTTTTGAAGTAGTATTTCAAGATCCTCTGCAAACTGCAGAAAAACCCCACAACTCCATCACGGGAGGACAGCCCGCGTGCCTCCGCTGCGGACCCCGTTCTTTCAGAGGGGCTGCTGCCTCACTAGTCAGATCCGGGGCTCCAAGAACAAAACTGAAACACGCAGGCCCGCCCCAGGGAAAGACAGAAGAACTGATTTGCTCCAAAGAAATGACCTCAGGAGCAGGGGAAGCTCCTGTCGTCAGAACAGGCCTCCCTGTCTCCGTAGCCTCTCGAAAGAGCAGCCGGAGGCACAGGATCTAATCCTCCCGCATCAGGGCCTGGGCAAAGGCGGTAAGTGGAGAATTTATGGCCAGACAGAAATGTCCCAGATCTGGGCTGCCCAGGACAGTAGCCGTTGAGCACTGGAAAAAGTGGATACGCAACTAAGGAGTTTGTGTTTGTATTTAATTTTAATGCGAACAGTCATAGGGGTAGTGGGGGTTACCCATGTTGGACAGTCGGGTACAGAGCGCCCGGAACAGAAGGGCGTTCCGTTTAAAAGCTGCAGCTAGGGATGTGCTGGTTGGGAAGCAGGGAGCATGACTGCGGCCTGCCTGGTAGCCCCTGGGGGCTGGGCACATGGTCCTAGAATTTTGTATCTCAAAAGTTCTTCCTCCAAAGAGCTGATAATTTATTTTTCCTAAACTAAGATGTTTAAGCCAGCTGATGATGGTAGGGAAAGGGATGTCCTATATCAGCCAAAGGCTGGGATCCAAGGCAGCTGGTAAAGCATCTTAATGCTTTTATACGCATTTTTTGATGTACAGCCGTTCGTTAATGCCAGCTGCATGTGCAAATGCCCCATTTGAGGAATAAGGGGTTGAACTAGTTCGGAGGTGATGATTCAGGAGGTCCGTGCCACCCGCAGCCGAGAACCAGCATCAGCCGTGAGCCGTCAGGGCTGCTGGTGGTGCCGTAAGAGCCGAGCTCCAGCGGCCTCGGACAGGAAGGGCACCACCGGTTCCATGGGAGCGGCAGCCCAGGGAGCGTCGCTACGGAGGCTGCCTCAGGGCCTTCTCATCACTCCTCTTGGCTTCCGGTATGTGGGCTCCCCACTCCGCATTCTCACTGGGCCACGGAGGTCCCTGTCTCACCTAAGTGTCTACCTGTGGCCAGAAAATGGGCTACACTGGGCGGTCTCAGCTGACCTGACCACCCGTAAGCTGGGACCAAGGAGTCCCCTTGAAGGCACATGGGCACGCGGTAGACACCCGAGCAGAAATCTGGGTAGTGGGAGAGGGAGGGGGAACGGACAGCCTGTGACCGTGCCCACTCAAGGTGGACTCGGCTTTTAGGTTTTCTGGGGTAAAGAATCACAAGATGTGTCCCCTTTCTGCCTTTTCCCACTCAGCCATCATCATCTGGCTGTAGTCTGTTGCTGGTCAGGCCTAAGGCCTTCACCGCCCTTACTGTCTCACGGGTATCCTGGCCCATGCTGATGACGTGCCTCGCCCGTGTTGGGTCCTGGTTTCGTCACTCGATAGCCCTGTCTTGTTGAGGCGCTGGTTCCCTGGAGGGGACGCCTGGCAGTGCCTACGAGCCGTGGGTCCTGGCTTTCTGTTGAGCTGTGTAGTGCGGACTCCCAGCAGGGCCCGCGGGGGTGTGACTTCTTCTGCCTGTTGCCTGCGTGACCCTGGGGGGCTCAGCTCTGCAGACACGCACTCGCACGTGCTGTGTGCCCGGAGCTGTGCATGTAGAGAAGGTGGCTCCCGGCCTGCAGAGCCCCGTCAGTCTGTGCGGAGAGGCCGAGGGCCCACAGGAGCCCTGTTGGGACAGGCCCGGTCCAGGGACCCAGGACAGAGGAAAAGACAGGATTGGGGAGTACAGAGACCAGGGACCCCAAACCCTACCACACGGCCCAGGGGAGGCAGCAGAGGGACAGGCTTGGTTGGAACGTTCGGAGGCAGCCCAAGGGATGGGGCCGTGTGGTCAGGTTTGAGGTGGGAAGATCCTGAAAACGCTTCTGAGCGGTGTGACATTTGCTCCCTGATGGAACAAGGGCAGTGCCACGTGGCCTGGAGGCGCGCTTCACTGGCAGAAAAGGGAGCGGGAGGAGGGGCAGGTTTGGGGACAGCAGTCAGTTGTGACCACAGCAGTGGGCTCAGTGCAGTGGGTTAAGGGAGAGTGTTTACTTTAAAAAAAAAACCAAAAACAGACATTTTCAGAAAGTAAACACTGAAGAATACCATATATGGAAAATGTGTCACTTTTCACAAAACAGCATGTAACCAGCACCAGATCAAGAACTAGAATGTTATCCGCCAGCAGCCTCCCCCAACACACACACCCCGGCCCCTCTCCCAGTCCAGACTGGCCCATCTGGTGTGGTCCTCCCACGAACCCCCCGTGCAGCGTGCCTTCGCGGCGCTCTGTTGTGAAGCGTTCACTGGAGGGAAGGCAGTCGTCCCTTCTGCTGACAGACGTTTACGCGGTTCTGACGGGACTGCTCGAGTGTCCTGGCTGGGGGGGGGTGGGGGAGCGGGTCTCGGCCCGTGTGCGCACGGGGTTCACACCGGCCCCAGGTTTGCCCCAGCACTAAATGGCTCCAGGCTGTCCTCAGTGACTCTCGCCGTTCTCCCTCAAGTTGCTGCTGCTTCTTGCCACTTGATTTTTGGAGGACTATGGCGCCCCTCTGCCGCCGTGTGTTTCTCTCAAATGTCTGGGCCAAGTACTCGGACGGCAGAGCTCATGAAAATGTAGCCAACCTCGCTGTACCGTTGAGTTGCGCCAGTCGCGGCTCAGGAGGCCCTCCTGGGAAAAAGCCGTCAGTCTTCCCCCGGAGGGCTGCTTGTGGGTCCTCAGGGAGAGTTGTGTGTCTGGTTTCCAGTTCAGGGTGCAGAGCTGTCCTCGGACTTGCAGGTGCACCTGGCAGGGAGACAGTGCCGCCCCCAAGGAAAGGGAGCAGGAAGGTGGTTTCCAGTGAGACTGTCAGAGAGCAGGAGGGCTGTGCGCCTCTGGGGCCAAGCACATGCCCCCTAGAGGCCACACCTGGGGAGTCTGGCGGGGCAGAAAGTATGCTTTCCCGGCTGCGAGGCTGCAGGCCGCCTCCTCCCAGTGGGACCTAGAGCGTCCCCTGCAGGGGGCTTTCTGCCCAAGGCCCTAAACCGCTGCCGCCGGTGTCTGTGCATGCGCAGCGCTGAAGGGCAGGCATCCTGGTGCTTTTTAAATAAATTATAAATTAGTCTGTAACCATCCTGAAGTATGAGCACTTCCTCACTAACGACTTACTCTGACACCTGCTGGGGAAGCACGCACGCCGGAGGAAGAAACCACTTTGCAGCCATTTAAAGCCCGATTAGGGCGTGCTGAGGGGGCAGTGGAACGTTGACACGGCATCAGGGTGCCTCCTAATGCTGGGGCTCCCCGCTGGCATGACCCTGCTGGCCCCAGGGCTCAGAGTCAAGCTCTGAGGTCCTCAGAGGCACAGAGACAGCAGGCACGGGTCGGAAGTGGCCCAGGTGCCCGCAGCCCTTCCTCTACTTCTGGAGTCTTTATGTCCAGCACCCAAGAGCAGCATCCAGAAAGAGCGCTGACCTGGACTTCCGCCTCCGAGTATGGCCTTTGACCCCCAGGCTGGCAGCAGGAGGTGGGAGGAGCTTTCAGGTCGGGGACCCTGAGACCACAGGAATCCCAGGAGCTTTCAGGCCTGTCAGGTCTGGCCCAGGGACCTGTTGCTCGGACGGTGTTACACTGCCCTCTCCTGGGCGCCATCTGGAGAATTAGCCCCACAAGCTCGGGCCAGTCATTTCTTGGAACAGCCAGAGCAGATTTAAAGCAAACGTGTAAAGCCCGCAAGCTTACAGAGTGAAAGACAGAAGGTCCATACTCACCCCTGGTCCCAGCCACACTGGGAGACCCCTTTGGCATCAGTCTGGGCACCAAAACCCAGCAAGGTCTTATTTTTGCTGTCTTTTCATGGCATCATTCAGGATGAGGCTCCAAAAAACCAACCGCGGCCACTACAGTCACACGGCCGGAGCGCCACTGGTGAGGAGCCGCACGTCCTGGCCTCTGAGTCTGAGTTCTTCCAGCGCTTGTGAGGGTCCCTCCTTGTCTTAGGTCTTATGTTCTTGCCCTGATTCTTTACGTGACTTTAGACACAGATGGTCTCAGATGGCTGAGACTGCGAGGCACTTTGTAGAACAGGCATCAGCCAGCGATAGAGCCCCTTATGCTTGAGATGGCTTTGTGAAAAATGCCCCAATTTCACGAGCCTTCCGTAAACTTCGTCTTTATCTTCACAGAACGATGCAAATGGGACAGCAAAGCCTCCTTTCCTCAGGTATGTTGAACTTAGTCCATGGGGGCCTTCAGTGAGCAGCCCAGGAGGCACGACCCTGAGGCGCCTCAGGCCTGTGGCGGGGCGGGGGGTCTGAGAGGGATGCGGCCACCTTCTGCTCATCAGTCTGGGGAGGAGGGCCTGGAAGCTCTGCTGTCTTTGCCCGGGACCCCGGGACCTGAAGGGGGACGGTGGGGAGAAGCCTGGTCACAGGTGCGCTGGGCAGCTTAATCCAGACCCTGTCCTCGGTAGCGCTCCCACCCCAGCATCTACAGCTCTGGAGAGCTGAACGGTGGGTGGCAAGGAGAGAACGGCCACAGAGAAACGCTCGTGTTCAGAAAACGGCCAGAATTTTATACAGGAGCCACAGAATTTCAGAATGAGGACAGTAGTTCATAGCTCTTCTAAAATGAAATTTCCATCTCGTGGTATTTCTGCAGCCGTCTTTTTCCTCCCCTTGCAGCGGAGAAAACCCCTTTGCCACTGTGAAACTCCGGCCGACGGTGACAAACGACCGCTCCGCACCCGCCATCCGATGAAGGCGGGCTTGGGAACGCCTGTTCCTCCGACAGGAAGTTCCCACTTGCAGAATGACAGCTGTCGGACGCGCTGCAACTGTGGTAAAGCTTCGCCAACGGGTGCCTGATTCTACCTGAATCCTACTTGAGCAGATCAGCGCGTTCTCTCACTTTAACGTAGCTGGGTTGATACTTCTTTATCTTCTTAAAGACAGAAATGTAATAGTTTGGTGATCAACTCAATCATTTAAAATATCTATTCTGTTCCTCAGAAGGCAGTAAATTTGGTTCCAATCCTTACTGTATCATTTTTTAAATGTTCTGATTTTTTTTTTAATAGCCAGAGTAAGGGATAGTCTGTGCTTTCATGACTGACTTTCCGCACCCGAATGCAAAGGAGACCACAGTTTTATTTTATAAAGCACGTGCTCTTACCTAGCATTATGATGTTTATCTACAAGAAATTATGTGTAAATTTGCATCTTAGCATGCAAATCGTAACTGTAAGCAATATAAATTATGAGATTATATACAAAGCTTTTAACTTAAACATTTTAAATTGTTTAATCAAATGTAGAGCTATGTAGGGTGGAGGAAGCCCTAAGCCGCCCTCGATTTAGACGCGGGTGCAGCGCGCACGGACGTTTGGCTGCTCCTGTCACGGCCATGACGTCTAGTACTCCTGCACCTCCAGAGCTCCTGGGCTCGGCGGGTCGGAGTTACGGACCGGACGGACCAGCGGCAACACACCAGGCCCTGTTGCACTTGGGCCTGACTCAGAGCGTCCCACGTGCGGGCGAGGGCCTGCTGTGAACAAGTGTCCCCGCGGCGCTAGCTGCCCGAGGCTGCCTCCGCCGCTAGTGAACTCTGAAACGTCCTGGGGGCCAAGTTTCTCCATTTCTGAATCGTCCTGGCCCCTGCCCCTCCAAAGAGCACGTAGGAAGCCAGAAGCCTGAGTGCTGTTGGCTGGGAGGGGAAGGCCTGCCTTTCGTCTGAGAGCTGCCATCATGCCCTCAGAATCGAGAAGTCCGCGCCAGTGGCCACCTTCACCTCTGGCTGCCGGAGACGGGCACTGGTTCGGAGGAGGGCAGCAGCGCGCCGCACGGCCGGCCCCTGCGCTGTGCGGGCGCAAGGAGGGCCTCGTTTATCGCAGCAACTTGGGTCTCGCCATAAATCCAACCTTTTTCTATAAGCTTCAAAGTGGGCACAGTCAAATGCCGGTAAACCAGTGGAAGCGTGTGACATTTCACGTTCTTGGTCCTGTCCTGCCTGCCCAGTGAACCCGGCCACCGCACCCAGGGCCGAGTTCTGTGGGCAAACGCCCGTCCTGAGCAAAGACGCGCCAGCCGGTCCAGTAAAGACAAGACAGAATGACATCTCACTGGGGGTCCCCGGCTTCTCCCGCCATCTGAGTAAGAGGAGGGTTCATGGAAACGCAGCGTTCTCTGCGGTGGGGGTGAGGCCGCCCTGACCTCCAGGGCTCTGCTCTTCGGGATCCTCAGGCTTTGTTATGGAGATTCTCAGGCGCCTGGGTCTCACCCCTCACAGAATTGGGGGGGGGCCCCCACCTGCCCCACCGAGGGGGGGGGAGGGCTTCTTAGGTCCTGGCACAGAGGCGCGTGCTCTGTAAATGTCAAGGTATTATGTCTTGTTATATTAATAAAATTTGGAAAGCACACTCGTGAGCTGCGGCTGTCTACGGAGGCCTAGATGAACACGGGCCAGGAGCTGGACCGCGCTGAAGCCCGGCGGCACGGGTGTTGCTCTAGTCTGTTTGGTTACAGGAACTTTCCAACGTGTACACAGGTTTGTTTGCACAGCAGCGGTGTGTACGCGCTGAAAAAGCAGAACCAGGTAAACAATGGTATGAATTTCATTTATTTAAAACAGTGTTTCTCACCTTCCTCAAATTGAAGACTGCAAAAAATAAAAGCAGTGCTTGAGCTGTCATTCACCCCGGAGCAGTGCTGCTGTGTCCCCACGCTGTGACCCCTGCGCCCACGAAACCGCAGCTCACGCCATCTATCTCCCCTCGCTTTACAAAACAGTCCTGAAAGCTTAATCAAATAAAGCTACTGTACATGACATTTACATTAGAAAAAGACAGCTGGATGTAGGAAAGCCAGGTGTGGTGTTCCCTTTAAGTGAAGTTTGCTCCACAGTTAGGGCATCTTCGCTTCCTCAAGGCAAAACAGCAGATGAACCCAAATGGGAATAAGATGATGGCCAAGAAGATGCCCAGGAAGGTGAAGGAGTCCTCCAGAACCCCGACTCTGTGGAGAGAGGAGAGGGGCACTCATGTCAGGGCCCTGGGCAGAGCCACACCTAGGGAGGCCCTTCTGTCCTCAGCCCCCCACACAAGAGGGGACAGAGACCGTGAGCACGCGGGGCCCGCGGGGCCTCAGTGACCGTGTCCCCAGCTGTCCCGCGAGCGGGTTACGCAGGAGGCGGCCGGCTACTGCTCTCCACCGCTACTCCAGAATGTGAAGGGAGGGGAGAGTTACCGGAAGGAATCATCACATCTTGACAAGAACATTCACTTTGCACGTTACCGACTATGTTCTCTCCTCCGTTACAAAAGGAGAACAAGAAGCAAATGCTAGTTTCTGTAGAAATCCTAGACCAAGAAATTAGACCAAGGAATCTGCATCATTTTAGGGTATTTTTTCCCCACTGTTGAAAAATGTCATTCTTCCATCCTCTAGAGGGAAATTCAAAAAACTGGTACTAGAATTCTGTTTGGGGAAAGGTTACCATAGGTTTTAGTGAAGGATTAAAATCAGCCATATTTACAAGGTCTCTAAGAAGACGACTTATCTTGAGAAATTTAATCTCCATTTCTTCTTCACAAAGTCAAGTTTACACCTTCAGGGTGCACCAGACACATGCCCAGGGGCTGTCACCCCAACCATGTGCTAGGAGTGTGGGTTGAATGACCTGAAGTCACCGCTCCCATTCCAGGGTCACGTTCAGAGGCCCCAAAGGTGGGAAGCAGGAGCCATGTGCTCAGCTCTGTCACCGCTTCTTGGGCGACTTCTGGGACGTTCTGGACAGAGCTGGAATTAAAACAACAGCCAGCTCAGCCCTAATGAACAATGCCTCGCATTCCAGAGAACCAAGTTCCTCCCTAGGCAGCCAGGGACCCCTCCAGCCTCATCCACCACGCTGTGAGCAGAGAGCCCTTGTGAACAGGCACTTCACCAGAATTCGCCAGAACAAACATGCCAAATCCCCCAGGGCTAGTACCGAGGAGGAAGAAAAGGGACTTCAGGGAGGAGCTGCAGGGCTGACAGGAGGTAGACCAGTAAGCGACAGACTTGACACCCCCACCCCGCTCCCTGCTTCCCTCCCAGAGCCCGCCTGCCTGCATGGGGCGGGAGCCCCTCCCTCCTCGGCCCACACCTCCGCTCCTGTGTCTTCAAATGCTGCGGGGGACCTCCTGGGCCCACGATGCTTTGGGAGCAGCTGCCCCTCCTTTTGCCACCTTGTGCGCAGAGAAGGAAGGTTCAGCTTAATAAAAGGTCAAGTGTCAAGGTGAAGCAGCCACCAGAAGGCTTCCAACACTCCAAATGCCAAACCTGCCACCGCCCCTTCTGATCACAGTTTCCTGCCCACAGCAGTGGTGACCCCGCTGGGCCAGGGCTCCAGCCCGCGCCCTCTGCCCTGCCCAGCAGGCGCCAGGCCAAGAGTCACGAGAAACAAACTAGACTGAGGAAGCCTGGTTTGCAGCAGCTTAAAGCAAAGTCCCACTCGATGCCCACTTCCCGTCCTACCCACTCAGGAAGGAGCTGCCTGAAACGTCTGCAAGGGACAGGACCCTGTAGCGCCGCTGCCCAAGGGGCTCGTCCTAAAGCACCAGCTCCCCCAGTAAGCTCTGCAGAAAAGAAAAGGAAGTTTTTTAGTTAATTTGAGGAAACTCTCCCCCCATCCTGGAGTCACAGCGCAGGAGTCCGAGAAACCCCGAGGTAAAGACCCTGTCGCACTGTTCGAGCGGGCGCTTCCGTGGGCCGTCCGGCCGCAGGCAAGGCCGGACCCGAGGGGGAGCCAATCAGCCCTGAATTTCCGTCAGCAGAGTTGCCTGTTCTCGTCTACGCTGCTACACAAGTCTTGTAACCGGAGTCCTCTAAGGACTGCCAAGGTCGCCAGGTCCCCACACTGTTCCTCAGCCCTGGTGGCTGTCCCTGTCCCTGGGAGCCAGACTCAATGGTGCAGACCCCACCTCGCACCTGCCCCGCCTGAAAAAGCGCCAGCGGCCTTGCTGCCCAGGGCTGAGGCTTCAGGGAGGTCCTGGGCCACACACGGGGACAGGAACGCACCTGCTCTGTCCACCGTCCTCACCAACAGCTCCTGCAACTATGGAAGCTAATCAAGCCACTTTCCCAGCAGCTGGAGGTGGCCTGGGACACCCACACCCCCAGCTCGGAGCTTTGGTACCATCCAGGTCCCCCTGTCGGCCCCTCTCTCAGCCTCTACCTAAGTTCCACCCACAGTCGAAACCCCAAGAATCCCACCAGTTCACGCGCAGTTAGAATGCCCAAGGAGAAAGCGGAGGGCAGCAACGAACCAGGCCTCACAGCTGGGTCACAAGCACCAGCTGAGAACCTTCCAGAGAAGCGTGCCCTCTGTAGGAGTGTGGAGGAGGCCTTGCCCAGTGTCCCCTCCAGGGGCAAGTGAGGCCCAAGGACAGGGACTTACCTGGCCGAGCACCCACCCAGGCTGGACACTCCATGTCAGCCCACTTGCGGATCGAAGCTGTTAGCACAGCCTAGAACCCAGTGTGTCCGCTCGAAGGCTCCAAATGTCTGGAAGAAGGCCAGGCCCAAGGCGTGTCCTGCTGTCCTCCAACCCTCCGCACCCAGAGCCGTCTCCCCGCAGCGGAGGGACGCCGGGGGCGGGAGCTATGGGTGCGGCCTAGCACACCTCCCTATACGGCGCGCCGGCGGAGGGCAGGCGGCTGTGGGGCAGCGCGCCCACCTGCGTCTCCGAGACCGGCTCTCCGCGGCCCGCAATGGAGGAAACGC